CGCATTGTCTCTGACACTCCCATCCCAATTATCCCAGTCACTGAATCAATCCACCTCATAGAGGGCCTTCCTCTCCTGCGCTGTCCCTCCACCCTCCCAAGCATGATGTCCCTCTCTAAGGACCGGTCTCTCCTCACAACATGTCCAAAGTATGTTAGACGGAGCCTCAGAATCCTTGCCTCCAAGGAGCCACCCAGTTTAACCCTTTCCAGGACAAATCTGTTTGTTTTCCTAGCAGTCCATGGTATTCTCAATACTCTTCTCCAGCACCACAGCTCAAAGGCATCAATTCTCCTTCTATCCTCCTTGGTCCTTGTCCAACTCTGATGCATAACAAGTGATTGCGAAGACCGTAGCCTGTATCAGACGCACCTTAGTCTCCAGAGAGACACAATTAGATAGTTTTTATAATTTAATTTTTTATTTACATATTTCCTATGTTGGTATGATCCATTGAGTCAACTATGACTCATAGCAACCCTATGAATGACGGATCTAAACCCTGACATATCCTCTGCCATCCTCTTCATCTCTGCTGCACTAGAGCCCATTGTTACAGTCACAGTGTCAGTCCATCTTATAGAGTATGTTATGTTTCTTAGCTGACCTTCTACTTTTCCAAGCATGATGTCTTTTTTCAAGGACTGACCCCTTCCAACAACATGCCCATAGTATGTGAGATGAAGTTTCACCATCCTTCCCTCTAAGAATCATTCTGTTTGTATCTTCTCCAAGGACATACTTGTTCTTTTCTTTGTTCATTGGATATTTAGAACTCGTCTCCAGCACAACAACTCAAAGACACCTATTCTTCTGACATCTTTATTCACTGTCCATCTCTCAGATACATACAAGTAGTTGAAAAGACCATGGTTTGTATTAGGCACACTATAAAAACAACAAGGACCACATGTATGTCGACTGCCATATTTACCTACTTCACAAAGGGGAACTGTCCCTGTCAACAGCATCAACAACACAGAACCAAATCCCATAAGGTCAGACATGTCCACCACAGTCCTGTACTTCTTTCTATACATCTCAACATTAATCTTACTGCGTTGTTGTTGTTGTTGTAGTTACGTGCTGTCGAGTCGCCTGCAACCCTATGTATAGCAGTTCTGAAGCCTGCCCTAACCTGAGCCAGTCTCACTAATTCCAACACACCAACTCCCATTGCCCCAGTCACTGTATCAATCCCATCTTATCTGGGGTCTTTCTCTCCTGTGCTGTCCTCAACCCTTTCAAGCATGATGTCCTTATGCAAGGACCAGTCTCTCTTGGCCACATGCCCATTGTGAGACAGAGCTTCAAAATCCTAGCCTCCAAGGAGAGACTTGGTTTCACCTCTCCAAGATAGACCTCTTTGTTTTCTTGACAGCCCATGGTATGTTCAAGACTCTTCTTTAGCATCACAACTCAAAGGCATCAGTTCTTCTTCTGTCATTTTTAGTCATTGTCCAGTTCTCTGATGCATAGTAAGTAATTGTGAAGACTATGACCTGGTTTAGGCACACCTTAGTCTCTAGACTGACGTTGTTGCTTTTCAGCATTCTGGAGAGGTCCCTGACAGCAGATTTTCCCAATTCCATTGTTCTTTTAATTTCCTAACTTCTGGTGTTAAGAATATTGATTGTGGAGCCAAACAAGCTGCAGTTATTAACAACCTCAATCTCTTCTTCATCTGTCATGCTACCAACTGTGCCAGTGGTGAGAATCTTTGTCTTTTTAATGTTGCCTTGTTGTTTGTTTTTGTTATGTGCCATCGAGTCACCTGTAACTCATAGCAACCTGTGTACAACAGCCCTAAATGCTGCTTTATCCCTTACCAATCTTACTGTTTCTGACACACCTATCCCCATTACCCTATTGACTGAATCAATCCATCTCATCGAGAGTCTTCCTCTCCTGTGCTGTCCCTCCACCCTCACAAGCATGATGTCCTTCTCCAAAGGACTGATCAGACCTTGCAACATGTCCAAAGTATGTCAGACGAAGCTTGAGAATCCTTGCCTCCAAGGAGCAGCCCAGCTTCACCCTTTCCAGGATGAACTTGTTCTCCTAGCAGTCCATGGTATATTCAGTACTCTTCTCCAGCACCACAACTGAAAGGCATCAACTCTTCTATCATCCCTAGTCATTGTCCAGCTCTCTGATGCATAGCAAGTAATTGTAAAGACCGTCACATATATCAGGTGCACTTTAGTCTCCAGACTGACAACATTGTTCTTCAGTACTTTGGAGAGGTCCCTTGACAGTAGACTTTCCCAGTGCAATTCGTCTTTTAATTTCCTGACTGCTGATACCAAAAGTGTTGATTGTAGAGCCAAGCAAACTGAAGCTATAAACAGTCTTAATCTCTTCACCATCTATCGTGATGCTGCCAATTGGCCCACTGGTGAGAATCTGTTTTCTTGATTTTGAGCTTCAGTCTGGGTCCAAAATCTGATGTAATAGCCTACAGATCACACAGAACCATATTGAGAAGTCAAAAGATTATAATTCAGGTTGGTAGCAGAATACAGTCAGGACAGCTTCAGAAATGTACTTCTGAGTGCCTTCATCTTGATTCTCATGGCTTTAGGCCAGTGTTTCAGAGTTCTCAGTCCTACAAATATTGACTTCCCCTTCCCCCAAAGTCCTCCAGCATCCTTGGCCAGAAAGCTCCTAGCTCTGGTTCAGTGGTGTAGTAGTCCCAAGGTCCACTCCCTCTCATGTCAGGTCTGTCATTTTCTGCCCTAGCTGCTATGGCTGTTGCTCCTGTAGGCCCTAGGCTGAGTAGCACAAAAATTTCTGGTCCCTAAGGACGAGTTACGCTTTCTTGCTGCTTCTCTTCTGGTGGAAGATCTTCTTATTCTGTTGCTATATCCATCCAGTTTAATAGCACGACTAGCCAGTCATCTGATGGATTGGTGAGACTAGCTAGTTCCTTTGTATATAGGCTAATATTCCCTATTCATAGGTTCACATCTATTCAAATGGCAAAGTCTAATTCACCGGCTAGGGAAGCCATTTTGAACACTAAACCCTTCACATCACCCAAACAATTTATATGTCTTTAAAGTGACTTTTTTTCCCCAGTACTTTGGAGAGGTTCCTGACTGCTGGTAACAAGAGTGGTGATCGTGGATCCAAGCACAATTTCTGTCTTTCCTCCATTGATCATGATGTTGCCTATATTTATTCCAAAAAATCAGTTTCTGTCTTTTACTATCTGTCATGATGTTGATCTGTATTTGTTCCCATTCCCACGAGGTGATCCAACAGAATATGGAAATTATCGAATAAAATTGTTAATAGCACATGCAAGTAAAATCTTGAAGATTATTTTAAAAATTGAGCCTGAATTTAGAAGAGGCTGTGCCACCAGAAATTGCTGGTGTCAGATGGATCTTGTCAGAGACTATCAGAAGGATGTCTGCTTGTGTTTTATTGACTATGCAAAGGCATTTGACTGTTTGGATCCTAAAACACTGTGGTAGCATTGAGAAGACTAAGAATCCTACAACAGTTAATTTTACTCATGCGAAACTTAGACCTAGATCAAGAGGCAATTGTCTAAACAGAGCAGGGGAACATTGTTGTTGTTATAAGTGCCTTGGAGTTGTAGACAATTCAACAACCCTGTGAATGAATAGACCTGAACACTTGTATAACTTTCATCCTTTCTCCACGTTCATTGAGTTTCCGGAGGCAAGCTATTTCGGAAATGGTTGTTACTCCTGCTTCCATGCTTGTTTTAATTGGGAAGCTCCACCATATACTGTCCACCATGGGTAACCGTTATCACATTTTTGTTTTGGTTTGTTTTAAAATGTTTTTTTTTTTATTAATTTTACTGAAAGTTTACAGAGATTTTAGGGCTTCATTCATTCATTGTTGCACTTTTCTCCCTGCCCACCTCCTCCCCACCCAATTCACTCTTCTCCTTAAAAAGTAAAACACTTTATTGTTATGTAATCCCTCCCCTCAAGTCCACTTCACTGTGCACCCTTCATTCTGGACTCATTCTGGACTCCTGTCATGACAATAATACCCAATCATATATTTATTTATCATACTTTTAAACAGTTTTCTCCCTCATTTGTTTCAATGCAGTATACATCATTCCTCCCTCCTTCTCTATCTTCCCTCAACCCCATGTCAGTCCTGTTTTCCAGTGGTGGCCCTATGCAGTGTTTGTCCTTTTGTGACAGATATTTCACTCATCATAATGTTCTCTAGGGTCATCCACTTTGCGTAATAGTTCATGAGTTCCTTGTTTTTCAGTGCTGCATAGTATTCCATTGTGTGAGTATACCATAGCTTCTCTATCCATTCGTTTGTTGATGGGCACTTGGGTTGTTTCCAGCTCTTTGCTATTATGAACAAAGCCTTAACATTACCTTATGGAGATGATACAACCTTGCTTATGTGCAGATGACACAACCTTGCTTGCTCAAAGTGAGGAGGGCTTGAATCTCCTGCTGCAGAAGATCAAAGATTACAGCCTTCAATATAGATTGCATCTCAATATCAAGAGGTCATAAATCCACACAACTGTGCCAGTTTTTAATTATTTTTAAAGTGGTTGCTCTAAGAATTACAATATGCATCCTTTTCTTAGTCATTCTAGAATTAATCTATCAGTTCATAGAAGATGTATACACCTTAAAGTCTTTTACATCTATTTACTGCCGTCTCCTTTCTATAAGTAGTAATATATTTTCATACTTAATATATTCCACAGGACAGTATTATACATTTTTAAAATTTCGACTGTCATAGGTGTTTTTTAAAAATGGGGGGAACCCCATTTTATAGTATTCATATATTTACTACCATTGATGTTCTTCATGCCTGAAGATCAGAATTTTCATTTGATATAATTCACTGTGCATGTCTTGGATGGAATGCTCTCTCAGTCACTTGTTTATACTTCATTTTTAAAATGATTAAATTTTTTATACGAATCTCTGATAAATTATTCTTCTTAAACACAAAACTGTTCTCTTTCCCAGAATATGCTTTTAAGGCAATTAACCAGGGTGGCCTTACATCAGTAGCTGTCAGAGGAAAAGACTGTGCAGTAATTGTCACACAAAAGAAAGTACCTGTAAGTAATACTGGCCAAAGCCAGTTTTTTTTTGGTTAAGTTTTCAGGTTTTTTTTTCAAAACCAATTCTTATGGAATAGAATGCCAGACTTTTTTTCATGTGTTTGTACAGAGATATGTTATTGCCTGTATACTTTGAGATTATACTTGCTTTGACTATATTTCCTCATCATTCAAGAAATACTTATTCAGCAACTATGTATGTTACCTAAGGATGCCATATATTGATCTTTGTAGTATAATTATAAGCACAATAGAACCTCAGAGTCCTACAGGGATAAAACAAGCTTAGAGACAAACTTCGGTGAAATAGTTTTGCTCTCAGGAAACAGATTATCTAGAAAAGGAGAATAGACTCCATCTCCTTTTTAAAAAATTATAACCATAAAAGTGAACAGAAGATATTTATTATATGTTGTTGTTAGATGCCATCAAATAAACTATAACTTACAGGAATCCTAAGAACAATGGATCTGAACCTTGCCCCATCTTGTGTCATTGTCATCATCCCTGATAATATTCCAGTCCATTGCTGTAGTCATGGTGTTGATGCATTTTGTTGAGAATCGTCCTCTTTTCACAGATGCTTTACCTTTCCAAACATGATGCCCTTTTCCAAGGACTGGTATTCCATAGCAGCACTTTTTAATAAATGAACAAAGCACTGTGATTTCTTTTTAAATTATTTTGATTTATTCATTAGGACAAGTTATTGGATTCCAGCACAGTGACCCACTTATTCAAGATAACAGAAAACATTGGCTGTGTGATGACAGGAATGACAGGTAATCAACTTACTTGCTTATATGAGCTGTGTATATCCATTTTCAAATTATTTTTTATTTTGTTTTAATTGTAACCCTGCCCTTAGGGACATTTATGAGTAGATGTGTAATCTTTGAAATTGTTATTAGAATCTTCAGAGTATTAAGACCTTTTTTTTTTAAATTGTAAGGTAATAAAATTGGGATTTTTTTTGCCACTTTAATAGATGATTGTTCTGATGATACCTGACAACAAACTTGGTTATAACATTTGTTAGAAATGGGTAAGATAGCATCTGGTCCCCACTGGACCCTCATCATTTCCTTCACCTGCTCCCCCCACTGACCAAACTGTGCAGCTCTGCAACTGCATCCTGGCCCATCCTCACCCTTCTGCCCCCAACCCTCACCTCCTTGTACCCCCAATATGTTTTTCCCAATAAAAAAAAAATTAAAAAAAAAAGAAATGGGTAAGAATTATATAAATTAAGGAAAAACTCAAACTTACTTTCCCCTGACCTAACCTGCCTCTCCTCAAAAATCAAAACCAAACCAAGAAATTTAAGAGAAACATTTTTTATTACTTAAAACTTGTTGCTTTGGAGCTATTAGACACTTGTAGAAACTGTTTGGCTTGATGATGAAAGACTCAGTATTTAAGGGCAGTAAGCTACATAAGTCACAATCTTAACATTTTCCTGGGAGCTCTGGTGACCTAGTGGCAAGAAGCTGCACTACAATCCCAAAAGAAAATATAATTCATGTCTTTTTCACTGTGCTATTAGTGGGAGGAAAGGCCAGAGTGGCCTACTTCTCTTTTCCTTAACTCAAAGGAATATAGAGATAGCTAGATATTTATGAAAATTATCTGCCTTTGAAGTTCATTCTTTCTTTCTAAATAAGTAAATTTTTGTTTTTTGTATTATCAGCTGACAGCAGATCCCAAGTACAGAGGGCTCGTTATGAAGCAGCTAATTGGAAATACAAGTATGGCTATGAGATTCCTGTGGATATGTTATGTAAAAGAATTGCAGATATTTCTCAGGTCTACACACAGAATGCTGAAATGAGGCCTCTTGGTTGTTGTAAGTATTTTAAGGGGTCTCCCAAATAGTTGATGAATTACAATTTTTTTAAAGTTGTTTTTGTTGTTGTTATGTGCTGTCGAGTCACTTGCGACTCATAGCGACCCTATGTACAACAACCCTAAATCCTGCGCTGTCCTGTGCCAATCGCACTGTCTCTGACACTCCCATCCCGATTACCACAGTCACTGAATCAGTCCACCTCATAGAGGGCTTTTCCTCCTGCGCTGTCCCTCCACCCTACCAAGCATGATGCCCTTCTCCAAGGACTGGTCCTTCCTTACAACATGTCCAGAGTATGTTAGACATAGCCTCAGAATCCTTGCCTCCAAGGAGCCGCCTGGTTTAACCCTCTCCAGGATGTATCAGTTTGTTTTCCTAGCAGTCCATGGTACTCTCAATACTCTTCTCCAGCATCACAGCTCAAAGGCATCAAATTTCCTTCTATTATTCTGCTTGGTCATTGTCCAACTCTCTGAGTGCATAACAAGGGATTGCAAAGACCATGGCCTGTATCAGATGTACCTTAGTCTCCAGAGAGACACCATTGCTCTTCAGTACTTTAGAGAGTTCCCTAACAGACTTTTCATGGCAGTACGCCTTTTAATTTCCTGGCTACTGGTGCCAAGAATGTTGACTGTGGAGCCAAGCAAACTAAAACTGTGAACAATCTCAATTTCTTCACCATCCATCCTGATGCTGCCAATTGGTCCAGTGGTGAGAATCTTTGTCTTCTTGACATTGAGCCTCAATCCATATTGGAAGCTGCAGTCCTTTAGCCTCTGCAGCAAACACTTCAGGTCCTCCTCAGTTTCAGCAAGCAGGGTTGTGTCATCTGCATAACGCAGATTGTTGATAGATCTTCCACCAATCTTGACCCCACATTTCTCCTCATAGAGCCCAGCCTCCTGGATGATCTGTTCTGCATAGGTTGAAAAGGTATGGAGAGAGGACGCATCCTTGGCGTACACCCAGGAAGAGTGCAAATGGTCATTGCAAAGACAGAAAAGGAAGAGAAGACCAAAATGGGTGTCGGAAGAGACTCTGAAAATTGCACTGGAGCGCAGAGAAGCCAAAGCACAAGGAAGAATTCAAGATACTAAAGAGTTGAATAAAAGATTTCAAAAGGCAGCACGGGATGACAAAGTAAAATATTACAATGAAATGTGCAAGAAGTTGGAGTCAGAAAATCAAAAGGGCTGAACTCGCTCAGCATTTCTTAAGCTCAAGGAACTGAAGAACAAATTCAAACCTCGAGTGCTATAATCGAGGATGCTTTCGGCAGAACGTTAAATGATCCCGGAAGTATTAAAAAAAGGTGGAAGGAATATACTGAGTCACTGTATCGAAAGGAATTGGCAGACGCAGAAGAATTTCATGAAACAACATATGAGGAAGAGCCTGTGGTGATGAAAGAAGAAATTCAGGCTGCTTTGAAGAAAATAGCAAAAATAAGGCCCCAGGAATAGATGGTATACCAGTTGACATATTTCAGCTAACAGATGCTGCCCTGGACATGCTCACCAGGTTGTGCCAAGAAATCTAGAGAAGAACCACTTGGCCAACTGACGGGAAGAGATTTCCCATTCCAAAGAAGGGTGACCCAACAGAGTGTGGAAACTATAGAGCAATCTCATTGATTTCACATGCAAGCAAGATTCTAATGAAGGTTATCCAAAAATGACTGGAACAGCTCATCAGCAGAGAACTGCCAGAAGTCCAAGCTGGGTTTAGAAGGGGTCGTGGTACTAGGGGTATTGTAGCTGATGTTAGATGGATCTTAGCTGAAAACAGGGAATACCAGAGGAATGTCTATCTGTGTTTCATTGACCATGCAAAGGCGTTTGACTGTGTGGATCATAACAAACTGTGGCTGACTCTGAGAAGAATAGGAATCCCAGAATATTTGATCATGCTAATGCGAAATCTATACTTGGATCATGAGGCAGTCATTAGAACAGAGCAAGGGAGCACTGCATGGTTCAAAATTGGGAAGGACATACGCCAGGGATGTGTCCTATCTCCATACCTTTTCAACCTTTTCTTTTTTTAAAGTACATACTAAAAAAAAATGTCATTTTAGTGACACTTGTGCTCTGAATATTAGCAGTTGTCAAAGTGGAAAAAATATTGTAAATCAGAAATGAAAGGTTGTTTTAACATTATTAATGTGCTTGGCATTTCTTTAAACTTGAAGTACTATTAGACTTTCATAAAAATATTTGTTGAAATAGGTGTGATTTCAAAGAACCAAGTTCCTGTTATATTAATTGGGCTATTATAAGATAATGCATTCTGCATTCTTCCCCACTTCTAGAATACTAGCCGCACTAAAATGCGTACATTGGACATCATAACAATCTGTAAGTTTCTTTTGACCAAACCTAAGAAACAGGTTACAAACATGCTTATGATTCAAATTTTTAGAATAAACTTCTGTCTTTAAAAACAAATAAAATTTCATTGGGAAAGGAATAAAGTTTATCACAGTAAAAAACTTAGTGTGTTCTTGTGTCTGCTATTGTGTTTTACATATGTGAGAATTAAGGTAGTCAATGTAATGTTTTTTCTTTAGCGTTTTGACTCTGTTGCCATTTCACTTAAAAATTACTTTTCGTTTGAGATCTTCAGAGAGACTGTCTTTTTCCTCCCCTGGTTTTCTTAGCTCTGATTCTGCTGGTCACTTAAATGTTACTCTCCAGAATTTTCTCTTGGCTCTTCCCTTTGGTCTATTTGAATTGTATTTCAATGGCAAGAAAACAGATTTTTACCACTGAACCAATAGACAATATCATGGTGAATGGAGAATAGATTGAAACTGTCGACAGCTTCATCTTACTTGTATCCACAGTTAACATCCTTGGCACTAGCAATCAACAAATCAGGAGACTTATTGCATTGGAAAAGTCTGCAGTTAGGGACATCTCCAAATTATTAAGCAGTAATAATGTCAGTTTGAAGACTAAGGTGCATCTGATTCAGGCCATGGTGTTTCCAGTCACTTGCTATTCATCTGAGGGCTGGACAGTGACTAGGATGAGAGAAGAATAATTGATTGATGCCTTTGAGTTGTGATGTTGGAGAAGAGCGCTGAACATCCCTTATGTCTTGGAGAGGGTACAGCTGGAGTGCTCCCTTAGAGGCAAGGATGATGAGGCTTTGCCTCAGCATACTTTGGGTGTGTTGCTAGGAGAGGGGGACATGATACTTGGAAGGGTAAAGAGTCGGCAGAGGAGAGGAAGACCCTCAACCAAGTGGATTGACACAGAGACTGCCTCCATGGGCTCTAGTATGTCAGGAAGTGTGAGGATGGCACAGGACAGGACAGGGTTCAGATCCACTGTTCATAGGGTCACTGTGCATCTTATTTGACAGCATATGGCAACAGCAACAATAGTGTGCAATAAAAATGAAACATAATGACTAAACATCTCTAATGAATGAAAACAGTAAATATTATTTTTCAGTTCCTGTAAAGTGGTCATTTTATATAAAAAGCCACTGCCTTGGAAAAGTAACTCAAAACATTTGTCTTTAACATAAGATATTTCGAAGGAGAAATGTAAATTTTAAAGATAGATTGTAGAAATGTACCTATTTCTGCTAGGTGTATCTGTACAAACTTCCATACATATGTATATGCACCATGCAGTCATAAGTTTCTCTTTTGTCCTCTGCATTTATACAAATCTCCTTTCATCCTTAAGTTCATCCTGTCTTTGTGCATGCTTTCCTTTTGTCTTGATTCCCCTCATGCCTTTTTCATAGTTAATAGCCATTTAGTTGACTGTGACTCATAGCGAGACCCTCTGAAGCTTGCCCCATCACGCTCCATTGTCACGATCTCTGTCATACTCGGGCCCATTGTGGTAGTCACTATGTCAGTCTATCTTGTTGAAGGTTTTTCTCTCTTTCTCTGACCCTGTACCTTTCCCAGCATGATTGATGTCACTCTCCAAGGATTGGTTCCTTCTGAGAATATGTACAGAGTTTGTATAAGTTGTTCTTAGCATCTATAAGCTCTACTCATCTTGAAAAACTTTGCAGCAAAGAAGTATTTTCTTGTTTCTTCTCAGGCAGTAAGTGGGTGTCTTTTCTCAATGTGGTCCTACTACATCTTTGTGTATTTTTGTTTGTTTTTATGTACCATTGAGTTGGAGCTGAACCGTAACAGAACCTTCAGTGGGTTTTCAGGGACAATATATTGCAGGGTAGGAGATTGCCCATCTTTCTACTGTGGAACAACTGTTATATTCAAACTGCAGGCCAACTCTTTACCACTAGGCCACCAGAGCTCGCTCTCTGTGTATATTTTACAAGATGATATAACATTGATCTCAAGTAGCTGTCTGATCACTGGCATAGTTAGTATATTGAAAATTTCTCTTCTGTAGGCTATAAAACATATGTGAATATTTCTGAATGGACATTTCTTGTCCTTAAAAAGTAAATAAAAATAAAACTGTAGTAAATAAGACAGTATGTTACTTATGGCAGATATTGGCCAGTGACAGACCAGACAAAAGAAACTGATATTTTTTTAAAAGTCTGAATATAAAGAAAGTAGTTAATACCGAATCTTATACCCAACTGTCGTCAGGTCACTTCCAACTAATGGCAGTTCTTCATTTCTGAGGTGGTAAATTGTAATTGGGACTAGACTGCCTCATCTTTCTCCTGCAGCATGGAGGGTGGATTTGAACCACCACCTTTTCTTCTGTTAGGAGCCCAGTACTTAATGAACTTCACCATGAAGACTCTTTAATCTTTTAGCTAGGATACTATATTAAAAGAGGTTCAAATCTAGAATATAAGAAAGTAGAAGTTAATGCCATTCATAAGTGCTGTTTTACCTTTTCTGCTGAGTAGAGGTGGTACTGTTTTTTTCACAATAATCTTGTTTATTTTACTTGTTCAAGATGTGATAACTTGATTAGATTCATAATAGCAAAGTACATATATATATTTTGGAGTTGAGATTGTATGGATTGCTTGCTAGTCACAGTAGTAGTGAGGAACAGAGCAATGTTGAGTAATTAGCCCTTTGGAGTATTTTACTTTGGGCCAGCATTCCCAAGTATATTCCATACATTCATTATTAGTTCCCTGGAACTTTAATAGGCATTTTTTAAATTATAAAGAAAAAATAAGTATGCCTTGGTTAAATAAGTTTAAGGTCAATTTACAGCAGGATGATTGAGCACTTTTAATATACTATTGTATTTTTTTGTTTCTATAAGGATATGTGAAAAGTTTTTAAAATTCATTTTATCAGGTAACATTTTGAGAGATTAGGATTCAAAGGTAATAGTAAGGATTAGAAGATTGATTTGCCGATTACATTTATAATAATTCAGAGTAAATATCTATGAAAAATCTTTTTGTTAAGTAAAAAAAAGAATTGTTACCTAATTTATCTCTAGGAAGCTCTGGTGGCCTAGAGATAAGGAGCTGTGCTGCCAACTGCCTCTTAAAACTCTCTGGAGAGTCTCTATGGGTTAGTTTCAACTTGACAGTATAGGAAAACAATTTATTCATAATTAGAACTTGGTGTTTTGTTTTGTTTTTTTAAACTTTTATTGGATTATTTTTACATGTACCGAGCATCTGGTGGATTTGAACCGTGTACCTCTGGGATTGCAGTGCAGCATCTTGCCACTAGGCCACCGGAGCTCCCTTATAACTTGTATTTTTCTGTATACTGCTTAAAAAGGATTAAAATGGATGGTCTGAGTAATAATTACTAATAGTATGTAACAATACTATAAAAGTAGAAAGTGTATTGTGTTAAAAGGTATAAGATTTTTTATTCCGTTTTTGTTGTGGTGTGGTTTTTTTCTTTTTTAGGTATGATCTTAATTGGTATAGATGAAGAACAAGGCCCTCAGGTGTACAAGTGTGATCCTGCAGGTTACTACTGTGGGTTTAAAGCCACTGCAGCAGGAGTTAAACAAACTGAGTCAACCAGCTTCCTTGAAAAAAAAGTAAAGAAGAAATTTGACTGGACGTTTGAACAGACAGTTGAAGTAAGTTAGCCAAAAGGAGTTAGCATTTAATGCTGCCTAGAATATTGGACATTTTGCATATTTGACAAGTCACTGGATAACTTCATGAGATCCAAGTTTGTCAAGTTGATAATAAAATTGATGTCCTTCACTTGACATGGAAATAATGTAAAATGCCATCGAATCAGTTACAACTTAACAGCGACCCTGTGAGCAACCCATCTGAACCCTGCTCTATTCTGTGCTGCCCCCATCATCTCTGCCACACATGAGTTCATTGTTAGAGTCAGCATGTAAATCTCTCTCGTTGGACGTCTTCCCTACCTTTGCTGACCCTCCACTTTTCTGAGCATGATGCCCTTTTCCAAGCACTGAGAACTCCTAGCAACATGCCCAGAGTATGTGAGATGAAGTTTGAGGGCTGCTTTATTTACTTGATTACTTCATAGTAGTCAAGCTCAGACTCAAAAACCTGAATGGTGGCTGTGTTGGAGACGTAGACTTCCTGATAGCAAAAAGTAAAAAAAGAGAGTCAATAAGACTGTTGTGTGAGCCTAAAGGGCAAGCAGCCATATACCAAATTCTTACGGAAACAAGCATCTTCCTAGCAACAGATTATTTTCATAGACTGACTTGATAGAGAAATTGTGTTTATGATTCAAAAGCAGAGCATACTTTCTCCGAAGTTTTTGAGGATGTTACTCATGGAAAAAACAAGCTAAAAAACTTGGTAAAATACAAGCTAAAACCAAACATTTTTAGATATTTATTAACTATGCTATAAAAAGCTTATTACTGTCAGGTAGCTCTGGTGGCATAGTGGCAAGAAGCTGCACTGCAGTCCCCAGAGGTACGTGGTTTGAATTCACCAGAAGCTCTGCTGGAGAAGGAGGGGCAGTCTCCTTCTGTACCAGTCAGGTCATTTGACGGTACACACCACACAAACACACACACACACACACACACAAAATTTTTTTTTTAAAAAAAAACTTATTGTCAAGAAATTAAAAACTTCAGTATATTTTGAATGAGTTAAAGTCATTCTGAAGACTAACAACATGCTTCTGAGGAATGACAAAAGGAAAAATTACTGTATTTTTTTAATTAAAATTTTTTTTTACATTTTTTATGTTTGACAGTTTATTTTACACTAAGAAGATATAAAGCTAATTTTCATCTGGGAGATACTACCATGTCCTGTTTAAATGCTTTTTAATAGTTTTAGTTTCCTAATAATTCATAATTGGTAGATAATAACCACATTAGATACGAGATCACTTAAAACATTCTCACATTGAATTGTTATTACAATAAATCCCTGAAGGTGGAGATTCCTCATTGTGGTCTCCTCCTCCTCCTGCCTCACTCACAGGCTAGCGTACTGCCCTGTGTGTAATGATTGTCAAATAGGCTATTTTGTATTAATCATCCTGTTTTGTTTGATAGACCACTTTAGTCTGGCTATAGAATTATATAACTGAAACATGGAGCAAAAATGAATAGCTTGTGATTCACTTATCCTTGATTTGAAAAATAAGTCAGTCCTTGGAATCTGAAAAATACTGTATTCTAAATGTTGCTTTCTTCTTCCCCTCCATCTACAAGACTGCAATTACATGTCTGTCTACTGTGCTATCAATTGACTTCAAACCTTCAGAAATTGAAGTTGGAGTAGTTACAGTTGAAAATCCCAAGTTCAGGTAAGTCATGTTGTCAGCTATGTACTTAAAGAAGTTTGTTAAGTATTAAAGTTCCAGACTAAGAAGGTAGAGATGCGGGTCCATTTTACCTTTGACATATGGAAAAAAGTCACACTGGGTGTTGGTTTTTATTAGCACCTGAGATAAAATAACTTCTTAAATGTATAGAATGTCTCCTTTTAAGACAAACGTAACAAGTTTTCTCCTCATTTCAGAGTGATTTTATATCTTAACAAGGATAACATAACCATTTTTAGGTATAGAGTAAAGTAAACATAAAGTGTTTTTTATTTTCAGATCAGTAGTACTTCAGGTTCCAAGGTAATAATAGTTTTCTCATGTTTTTCTGGTAGAACTTTGACTATTTAGTGGTTGATTATGTTATTTAACTTAAAACTTTAATTATAAGTAGAATGGTTCAAATCCACCAGATGCTTTGCTGAAGAAGGAGGGGCAATCTCCTCCTGTACCAGTCAGATCCGATTTGACAGTACACACACAAAAAAATTATAAGTAGAGCTTTGAAGAACAATATGATGTACTGTTAATACATCAGACTTTTCTTTGGTGATTATTGGGAAACCCCAAGTTTTTAATAGACCTATTTAAGTTACAGATGCTAGAAGCTTGTCTATTCTTACTCACTTAGAGACTAACTCCCCACATCAACCTTTCAGCTTCCATGATTCAAATCCACTCTAGGTTCTTAATACCTATCAGCTTATTCAGTTCTCCCAGGACCCCTATGAGGTAGATGATTTACATACCATGGACCAGGATGCTCTTGTAAATAGTGGAAAAATATTCAGTTAAATTCATAGAGTCAAGGAACTGCTGCAAAGGCATTTTAACAACTGCACATCACTACTCTTAGATCATCCATAGTAAAGGGTAGCAGTCTAAACTTAGCTAGACCTTAAGATTGTTAGTACTGGTGGCCTAGTGGCAAGAAGCTGCACTGCAATCCCAGAGGTACGTGGTTCAAATCCATAAGATGCTCTCCTGGAGAAGGAGGGGCAATCTTCGCCTGTTCCAATCAGATCCAATTTGACGGTACACACACACAAAATAATAAAATTTTTTAAAAATGCAAAGATTTTTTTAATACTGCTTTTCTCCCCCCCTTACGTATTTTATTCTCTTGGTTGTGTGTAGAATGATATAAACATGGGAGATTTAAGAAAAAGTCAGATTTAAAAAATGGTAACTAGAATTGAGTCCACCTTTTTTCCCCACATAGAAAAAAAAAATTGCCTTTACTTTGTCTTCCCCTGTTTTTCCCCTTTTTTAACAATAAAATTTCAGTAGGAACAACAAAATTCAGTAGGGACCATTTACATTGCTCTCTAAAGGACCATAAAATAATTGTAGCTAATTCTGATAGCTTTTTTTACTTCAAGAAGTTCGTTGTGCTGACATTTCTACGTTTTCAACTTCCCATAATAACAAGCTGTTACAAGTAAATAGTTATTTTTTCTTTTCCTCTTGTCTTCTAGGATTCTTTCAGAAGCAGAGATTGATGCCCATCTTGTTGCTCTAGCAGAGAGAGACTAAACATTATCATGAGTTTCCCAAACCCATGATGCCACTTGCCAGAGTGTTTGGTAAAAAAGATCAACATTGTGGAGGCTCCTGAATTAAGAAAGAAACCTCTCCCACTCCTCCTACCCATGAAGTGGTTAGGACTCTATAAATAAAAACGTTTTTTTGAAAAAAAGAACCACCACCCAAATACCAGCATCCTGTCTTATTTACCTCTAGTGTTAAATATTATAGTCTTAGTACATGCAAATGTTCAGATATTCACCATTTTCAAATTTTAACTTTATTAATTTTGTTTTCAAATGAGTTTACAGGTTTTCTTAGCTTTAAGAGTTTCAGTAGCCAGAAATTTAAACTTTAGCTGTATGGCATCACTATTTTTTAAATCTCTATGGTAAGTTTGTGTGAAATACAGGGCCTTTATTTTATAGTTCTTCATTCAAGCAGGATATTCCTGACTGATTGACATTCAGTAGAGTGCTGAGAGAATGTTTGTGTACTCAATAAAGAACCAGTATTTTGGAGAATAGAAATGCAGTTACTTTAAAAAGAGCTTAGAAAGTTGTAGAATATTTGTGTTTTCTGTATTCAGTTAAGTTTTAGGTATTTAAAACAGCCTTTATGTTTGCTATAAAGTTTGATGGTACCGTTAAAAACAATGATATGGGGTAAAGGCCAGTCTGAATTACTAATTTTTTTTAATGTGCACATTTGATATGGGGGAAAGGTCAGTCTGAATTACTAATTTTTTTTAATGTGCACATTTAAGTTTTTTAAGATTCTAATAATTTTCCCTGGTGACTTGACTCATTAATTGTTACAGATGATTAAAAAAATCTTGGAAAATCTTTTTCCTGTTCTCCATCATGGCACAGGATCAAGGCAAAAAAGAGAACCCAAGTGGAGCTTCACATCCGCAAACTCTGCCTCAATATCTGTGTAGGTGAGAGTGGAGACAGTCTGACCCAGGCAGCCAAGGTGTTGGAGCAGCTCACAGGCCAGACTCCCGTGTTCTCCAAAGCTAGATACACTGTCAGATCCTTTGGCATTAGTAGAAAAGAAAAAATTGCTTGTCCACTGCACAGTCCAAGGGGCCAAGGCAGAGGAAATCTTAGACAAAGGCCGAAAGGTGCAGGAATACGAACGAGTTAAGGAAAAAATAACTTCTCAGATACTGAAAATTTTGGTTTTGGGATTCAGGAGCACATTGATCTTGGGATCAGATATGATCCCAGTATTGGTATCTATGGCTTGGACTTTGTGGTGCTGGGTAGGCTAGGTTTCAGCATTGCAGACAAAAAGTGCAGGACAGGCGGCATTGGGGCCCAACACAGAATCTGCAAAGAGGAGGCCATGCCCTGGTTCCAGCAGAAGTATGATGGCATTATCCTTCCTGGAAAATAAGTTCCCATTTCTTTTTTTTAATTTTATTTTTGTGTGTGAGTGTACCGTCAAATCAGATCTGACTGGTACAGGAGGAGATTGTCCCTCCTTTTTCCGGCAGAGCACCTGGTGGATTCGAACTGTGTGCCTCTGGGATTGTAGTTGCAGCTCCTTGCCACTAGGCCACCAGAGCTCCCCCTAAATTCCCGTTTCTATCCAAAGGGCCAATAAAATGTTTTCATGAAGCGTTTAAAAAAAAAAATAAATCATCTGGACTACAGTCATTACTTTTGGTGTTATTCGCATTGTGTGAAACTGGTGCTATTGCTCTTGCCTCACACAGGTGTGTGGTGAAATTGCAGTCCCTGGTCTCAGAGCAATCCTTGGAGTCAGTTTGCTCCTGTTTTCACAGCTACCAGGCCAACAGGCAGGGGAGGCCAGATGAACATGTGACCAGTAGAGGCAGGAAACTTCAACCACATCCTTTACAGAGCTGAGTCATGTGTTGTAAAGTTTACTAGCAGGGAAGTTGGGTTCTACCAGTTCAGGGGCTGCTGCTCAGAGAATATCCAGATCTACCAGGCTCCCTTTGGTGCTGCCATCATTTGAAAGCAGAGCTTTTTATTCTCCTAAACAACTGTCACATCCTGGCATCCTTGACTGAACACCAGGAATCATGCATGAGAGGCTAGCAAATAACCTCGTTTCTCTGTAATAATACTATTTTAAAGAATATTGGTGCTTTTAGGTATAGAAAATAAAAATGAATTAGAAAAATATAAGTTGAAATAAGGGTTAAATAGAAAACAATTTTAATTATATTAGTTGCTATTTTTTTACTTCAAACAACTGCAATAAAAAGGAAAGAGACAATGTATATAAAAATTCAATACTCAGTCTGTTTTTAACATGACCTAGAATATCAGTTAATGCAGAAATGTAAAAATATTAGAAAAAAGCATCAAACCCACAGATCTTCAAATATCGTCATTTAAGGAGTATTTTAAGAAACTGCTAAGAAATATTACAGTTGAGTAATGGCAGTATGTCTATTTACTGAATATGAAGCGTTTGGGTATACCTCTGGCTTTCTCCTATTAGTAGTTCTCATAAAACATTGTACACTAACTGCCAAATTCAGCATTCAGATTTGTGCCATAACCAAGTTACTACATTAAAGATTTTGAGTCTACCTTAAAAAGGTAGAAATTCTAAGGCTGAAATGTTCTGACAGTCCACCTTACTTAGAAATCCAGTTTTTTAAAAATCTAAATAGCTGGACCATGACAATAAGAAGTATTGAAAGAAATGAAAGTTTTAAAAATCTGATATGTCAATTTCAATCTTAAAAAAAGTTCCAAATCTCCCATTGATGCATTAATCTTACTGAAGCAGTCCCTATACGAAGTTATATACTGTATCATCTTTTATTGTGACATTTAGTTCAAGTCCCTAATTGTTCATCTGTAGTTACAAAATCTGGCCTGAACTGATGGAAGGTAGTTTTCCTTCCTTGATCTCTGCAGAATGTTAAATGCATAACAGACCTAGACTATAGAAGATTTATGGAATATATGGTTTATACATTATTTCTTTTCTAAAATAAAATGTTTTAAATTCCAAAATGCATTTGGTGCTAAGCTTTTAAATAAGGAATTGTAAAAAATAAACCCGTGGACATGAAGTTGATGATGACTCATAGCAACCTTGTAGGACAGGCTTTAGTTTTGGAAGCAGACTGCCTCCTTTTTTCTACAGATTCTAACAACTGAATCTGTTCCAACTTCCAGTGATGCACCATCCATCAGGTTTCTGAGGCTGAAAATCTATGGGAGGAGAATGCTCATCTTTTTCACGTGGGAGTCTCTGGTGGGTTGGAATTTAAGTTAGCAGTCCAATTTAGTTAGTCCAGTGCATTAAGCATTATGCCACTAGCAATCAGCACTCAAAATTCTGTTCTAATCATGCTTCTATAACTGATAACAAATTTATCTCCATTTCAGAAGCTTATTATGTGGCGGTGCGTTAGAAACAACTCATAGAGGTTTTTCAGAGGTTGTAAATCATGAGAGATTGCCCATCTTTCTCCCTCCAAGCAGCTGCTGGGTTTGTACTACTTGCCTTTGGGTCGGCAGTGCAATTTCTTAGCCACCACACCACCAGAGTTTCCGAGTGGTCATAGGCCTATACTGTTATTCTGTAGCAGGGCCCTGGGTGCTAAAATCACTGACTAGCCTGTTGAAGATTATCTAAAAACGACTGGAACAGTACATCAGCAGGGAACTTCCAGAAGTCCAGGCTGGGTTTAGAAGGGGTCGTGGTACTAGGGATATTGTAGCCGATGTTAGATGGATCTTAGCTGAAAGCAGAGAATACCAGAAGAATGTCTATCTGTTGCATTGATTATGCAAAGGCATTTGACTGCGTGGATCATAACAAACTGTGGCTGACTCTGAGAAGAATGGGAATCCCAGAACATTTAATCGTGCTAATGCGAAACCTATACTTGGACCAAAAGACAGTTGTCAGAACAGAGCAGGGCAACACTGAATGGTTCAAAATTGGGAAGGGTGTGTGCCAGGGATATGTCCTATCTCCATACCTTTTCAACCTGTATGCAGGGCAGATTATCCGAGAGGCTGGGCTCTATGAGGAGACACATGGCGTTAGGATTGGTGGAAGATCTATTAACAATCTGCGTTATGCAGATGACACAACCTTACTCGCTGAAACTGAGGAGGACCTCATGCACTTACTGCAGAGGGTCAAGGACTGCAGCCTTCAGTATGGACTGAGGCTCAATGTCAAGAAGACAAAGATTCTCACCACTGGACCAATTGGTAGCATCAGGATGGATGGCGAAGAGATTGAGGTTATTCACAGCTTCAGTTTGCTCAGCTCCACGGTCAACACTCTTGGCACCAGCAGCCAGGAAATTAAAAAAATGTATTGTGGTGGGAACGTTTGTTGTTAGGGACCTCTCTAAAGTACTCAAGAGCAACGGTGTCTCTTTGGAGACAAAGGTGCGCCTGATACAGGCCATGGTCTTTGCAATCACTTGTTAGGCATCAGAGAGCTGGACAATGACTAGGGAGGACAGAAGGAGAATTGACGCCTTTGAGCTGTGGTGCTAGAGAAGAGTATTGAATGTACCATGGACTGCCAAGAAAACAGATTCATCCTAGAGAGGGTTAAACCAGGCTACTCCTTGGAGGCAAAGATTCTGGGGCTTCGTCTGACATACTTTGGACATGTTGCAAAGAGAGACAGGTCTTTGGAGAGGGACATCATGCTGGGTAGAGTAGAGGGACAGCACAGGAGGGAAAGACCCTCTGGGAGGTGGATTGATTCAGTGACTGGGGTAATCGGGATGGGTGTGTCAGAGGCAATGCGATTGGCACAGGATAGAGCAGGGTTTAGGGCTGTTGTACATAGGGTCGCTATGAGTCGCAAACGACTCAATGGCACATAACAACAGCCTGTTATTAAAGTGCCCTCGAGTATAATGACCCCTATGAACACATAATCAGCATCCTGTGTTGTGCCATCCTAATCATCTCTGCTATACTTGATTCCACTGCTACAGTCACTGTGTCAATCCATCTTGTTGAGGGTTGTCTTCTCCTTCATTGATCCTCCACCTTTCCAAGCATGATACTCTTTTCTAAGGAGTAAGCTTTCCTAATTGAAGCTTTGTCTTACATACTTTGGCCATGTTGCTAGGAAAAATTACTCCTTAGAGAAGGACATCATTCTTGGAAAAGCAGAGGCTCAGCAAA